TAGGCGACATCTCCGAATCTTTCCTATCTCTTCCCATAAGCCAGTCCCAAAAGCTTGTAATCCACATTATCAAGTATAGCCACAGCAACGACCCCACTCTTCTGGTACCAAATTCTGTCTTAGTTACTTTTTTACTTGTTGCTGGGACAAATACCCGACACTCAATATGAAGGAAGGAAAGGTTTATTTAGCTCACAGTTACTGGAGGGTTCAGTCCATACATAGTCTGCTGGCTCCAAGGCAAATGACAGCAGTTCATGCAGCAGAAAACAATGAAGAGCAGAGGAGGAGCAGCAGCTGCGGAGTCCATCAAGCCTCTCTCTTCCTTCTATGCTGACTGCGAAGACCTGCGCAGTGAAGATGGAGCTCCTCCAAAGTGGCGTGGCTGCCGAGATCAATCTCCTCCAAAGACTGGGTCTGCCGAGATCAATCTCCTCCAAAGACTGGGACTTCTCCACAGAAGCACGGTGGGGCAGCAGGAAACCAGGCAGGCTGGCTTCCTGCCTTTCTCAGTTCCTGGGCCCTGCCCACCTGCAGGGCAAGGCCCCCATGTTGAGAACTGAGGGAGCTGATTCAGCCAAGTTGACACAATGTATCAACTAACACAGCTCATTAAAAGGAAAGATAAGACTGGTGATACAGCCCAGTGGTAGAGTGTTTGCCTAGCATTCGTGAGACACTGGGTTCAATTCCCAGCACCAAAGTGAATAAATACATGAATTTATTTCATTAAATAAAGAGAGAAATATGCCCAAAGGAAACATTTGTATATATTCACCAAAAATGGTGTTCAGGAAGATTCATAGCAGCCCAGTTTATAGTGGTCTCAGATTAGGAACAACTCAAATGTCCATTAATGGGATTAAATTGTGTGATATCTATGGTGTGGATACTATACACCGGTGACAAAGGACTATAACTGTTGTAACTAAAAAATGAGGCAGGCTCAAAAGTTTTAAAAGCGCTTTATTTTAGCTGGTACCCAGCGGCAACACCAGGCACAAAGTGCCTAAGTACACACTGAAGGGGAGCATGGGGTTTATAAAGCTGAAAACCACAAAGCAGGCGGGGGCGGGGGGAGGGGGACAACTCGGGAAGTTCAAAAAGTCATGGCATCTGTTGAGACTAAATATGGTTATAGGTCTGGAGTGGGCTTGGGAAACAGAAGTCACACTGGAACTCAAGGGTGGGATGGGGGCTTCAGGAAACAGGTTCTGTGAGACAAAGCGCATATTGGAACTCAAGGATGGGATGAGGGGCTTGGGAAGCAGGAAGTCACATTTTACAGCAGCTGACATGGATCACTAAGACGGCGCATACAGAACAGGATGGCGGCGCTTTGGTCAGGTTATAACAGTAACTAAAACTACACACAGAAATATAGATGAGTCTCACAAACAATCCTGACCAACAATAAAAAAGTCGCAAGAACAAAGAAGTCACAAAAGAAGATCTACTACATGGGTTCATTTATAAAAAATACAAAACTGGTATATGCTGTTAGAAAGCAGGATGGTGGGTTTTTTCAAGGGGCTTGGGAGAACCAGGGGGGGGTCTGAGGGTACCTGTAATGTGGCCAGTTGATCTACTTGTCGGAGCTCATTAACTTCATGGAAATGTGTTGTTTCCTTGTGACTCGTTCATTTTTCACTGTTTGTTATTGCCCAATTAAAAGATTAGTTAAAAGTCAGAAAAGAAAAAGGACTAACACCCATAATCTTACAACCATAAATAACTGCCATTATCATTTTAAGGCTGAGCCATCTGGGTCATTTTTACATATATAAAGACATAAATACATGAGTTAATGTATATTTTAATTATCACCTTTGTCACTTATCAGTACGCATTTTATTGTATTTATTTATCTATTTTTGGAACCAGGAATTGAACTCAAGACCTTGCACTTGCCAGGCTGAGCTATACTCTCGCCCTATCAGTGTGCATGTTTTTCTTTTCCTTTTTTTTTTTTTTTTTTCTTGTGATGTATTTGGTTGTTACAGGGTCACACTGTACATCTTGGACTCATAATGATCCTCCTATTTTCAGCCTCCCCAGCACTGGATTACAGGGGTGTTCCACTACGCCCGGACTCTGTGGCTAGCTCTGCCCGCCCTGGGGGCAGGGCTGGAGCAGCATGTGGTGCTGGGGATCGAACCGAAGCCCCTGTGCTTGCCTAAGCTTGCCTAAGCAGGCTTGTTAGTCTGCTGAGATATCTCATTTGGCCCTATCAGTATAGATTTTCTGTACTATTGCACATACAGCAGCCCTTTGTTGGTAGAGAGGATCTGTTACATACGCATACCACAATTAATTTGTTCAACCTTCTAGAACTAAACATTTAATCTATCTCTGGTGTTTTGATCTTTGTTTTTGATTTTTGCCTTTATAAAGAATACATGGCAACAAGTACATGTAATTCATTTTTACATTAATTCCCCATTACATTCGTTCTCCCTGTACTTTCCTCAAAGATCCTTAGAATCTCATTCTTTCTTCTTTTCTTCCACCCTTGCCTCTTATCGTTGCTCATACTGCCATACTCAAATATATAAATAAAGGGTTTAACCTTCACAAAAATATAATCATGTGCTCTTCTCTAAAATCGGAATTAATAAAAGAGGAATGAACTGGCATAGAAGAGAACCAAGGGGGGAAAAAAATGTGGACAATGCAATGATGGTGCTGCCTAAGCTGGCCACGGGCCTGGATGTGAATGTGCAGTTCACAGGCTCTCAGACTTTGAGTACACACCGGAGTGCAGTGTCTTTGACCTCCTGGCAGTCCCTCTGTACCACGGCTGGCTTGTGGACCCACAGAGTCCTGAGGCCGTGAGTGCAGTTGGGAAACTGAGGTCTAACCAGCTGGTAGAGAAGATCATCACCTGCAAACACTCTAGTGACCCCAACCTCGTGACAGAAGACCTGATTGCAGAGCAGTTCCTAGAGACCACCGCGGCCCAGCTGACCTACCACGGTCTATGTGAGCTTACCACAGCTGCTAAGGAGGATGAACTTAGTGTCTTTTTCCGGAACAACCACTTTAGCACTATGACTAAGCACAAGAGTCACTTGTACCTACTGGTCACAGACCAAGGTTTTCTACAGGAGGAGCAGGTGGTAGGGGAGAGTCTGCACAGTGTGGATGGAGACAGTGGCTTCTGCGAGTCTGACTTCCATCTCAGCCATTCCCTGGGCAAGGCACCCAGAGCAGAAGGTGGGGATGGCTCTCCAGAAAAGCAGCTGCAGGTAGACCAGGACTACCTGATTGCCTTGTCCCTGCAGCAGCAGCAGCAGCAGCAGCCACAAGGCTCACTGGGCTTGACTGACCTGGAGCTGGCACAGCAGCTTCAGCAGGAGGAGTATCAACAGCAGCAAGCAGTCCATCCTGTGCAGACACAGGCCCCACTGCCACAGGGCAGAGGAGCCACCTCTGGATGGCCAGCTGGGGAGCCGCGGCAGAGGCCAAAGCACCAGTCAGACTGTGTTCTTCTGTAGCTCTACCCCTTCGTTCAGAGGCTGTGGCTGGTTGGTTTGCTTTTCCACCTTGGCCCCTGAGATATTCCGGGTAACTTATTTATGGACTGCTGGGGGTCAGGGCAGGCAAGGATGGACTCAGCAACATCCTGGCCCTCAGGTGATGCTGCTGTTGCTGCTGCTGCCTTCTCTTCCTCCCATCCCGGGATGATGGGGTGAAGATTCCCCCAAATAGTCTCCAGAACACACAGACTCAGGTTCCAGGGCCCGGTCCCTCTCTGGAATGCAGAGCTCTACTCCTTCCTATCTCACACTGGCTGGGGGCTCCTGGCTACTGCAGGCCTTTTTCCATTTGTTTCAGGGTTTGATTTGGGTTTCTATCTGTTATTTGTAATACCTGCCTAAAGTTTGGAAATAACACCTCTTTACTTAAAAAAAAATTAAATAAATAAAAAATAAAAAATAAAATCGGAATTAAAAAAATTAGCCAGAGCTCATAGAAATCCCTCCAGACAGCAGGGTGTGGTGGCACAAGCCTGTAATCCCAGCACTCAGGAGGCTGAGGCAGAAAGGTTGCCATGTGTTTGAGGCCAGCCTGGACTACATAAGTTCAAGGCTAGCCTGTATTACATAGTGAGACGCTGCCTCACAAAAAGTAAACAAGTTTAAAAAGTAAATAAATAAATGCTTCCTGAGCAATAGATACATTTCTAGCACACTTTAAAAGCTGCCACAGGCCAGTGAGCTGGGTCTGCCCCGAGCTATGCCTGCTCCGGAGCTACGAGTAGAACGCTCTCCATTACAGGGCTACTTTCAGGCGTCATGCAAGACGCACCCTGGGATCTCAAGGGGCTTCTCTACGTCGACGTAGTAGCGAGTACAACGGCGAATTCCGAAGATGCCGCCCAAAGGAAAAAGTGGTTCTGGAAAAGGGGGGAAAGGGGGAGCAGCCTCAGGGAGTGATAGTGCTGACAAGAAGGCTCAGGGCCCCAAAGGTGGTGGAAATGCAGTAAAGGTCGTACACATTCTGTGTGAAAAACACAGCAAGATTATGGAAGCCATGGAAAAGTTAAAGTCCAGGATGAAATTCAGTGAAATGGCCGCACAGTATAGTGAAGATAAAGCCAGGCAAGGGGGTGACTTGGGTTGGATGACCAGAGGCTCCATGGTAGGACCATTGCAAGAAGCAGCATTTGCCTTGCCTGTGAGTGGAATGGATAAGCCTGTGTTTACAGACCCACCAATTAAGACAAAGTTTGGATATCATATTATTATGGTTGAAGGGAGAAAATAAAATTATGTGAAAGATAAAAAAAATAAAAATAAAATAAAATAAAAAAAGCTGCCACAGCAGAGTCTGTCAGATAGCTCAGCGGATTAAAGCCCCTGCTTAGGCAGATTCAGGAACCAAGTTTCAATCCCTGGCATGTGGTGCCGATCCCGCCCCAGTGGCGCGCTGAGATGGTGGATGTGGTGGTGTGTGCCTGTAATCCCAGCGCTTGGGAGGCTGAAAACAGAAGAATCATTATGAGTCCGATCTACATAGTGAGACCCTCTAGACCCTGTACTAAATAGATTTTTTAAAAAGCTGCCACATGAAAACGTCTAGTTGTTTCTAGGTCTTAGTCATTACAACTCATCCTGCTACAATAAATTCCTTTGTGCCTACAGTGCCAGTTGTATCTCATCGTCGCTTATTGTCTGGGTTCCAAATTCACCCTTTTTTGCGGCCTCTGACAAAATAGTCTGGGCCTTGGAAATGTTTCTTTTGCAGGAGATTCTGAATCTTTGTCGGTAGAGGGTGCTAGAGAGTCACTGAAGAAAAAGGAGAGCCCTGTTTCCTGTTCTTTGATTTTTGTTTCGTTTAACTTCAGTCTGGGGCGTGAACTCAGGAGGGCAGAATTGTCCTCGAACTTGCGATCCTCCTGCCTCGGCCTCCCAGCAGCTAGGCTACAGGGGTGCACCATCTATCCTGGCTCCTGTGCGCTTGCCTGATGGGGTCTCCGTAGCCCCCGGACTGCGGCAGTGCACCACAGGGGGCAGCACTCGCGGCAGCCTCCTCCAGCCTGCTGCGCCCTTGGGGCTCTGTGGAACAAAGCCCGAGCTTCCCCAGCACCCTGCAAAGCGGCCACCACGTTCTAGCAGATCCCGCGCCCCCCGCCCCCCAGTGTTCCGCCGATTGCCCTTTGATTTCTCAGTCGCCCGCCCGCAGTCAAGTCCTCTCCTGCAAGGCCTCCATCTAGTGGAGGGCGGGCCATTCTTTCTTGGATGTGCTATCTCCGGGAGCGGGGCAGAGGGTGCATTGCTATATTCTTCAGAAATCTTTTTGCTTCTTCTTAGCCAACCCCTTGTTATTCTAATCCCCTGTTCCTGTTAATAACTCATTATAATTATTAACATGTATTAATTGTATAAAATAATGAGTTTTTTTGTTTTGTCTTTTTGAGATATTTGCTATGCAGTTCAGGTTGGCCCTGAACTCACTTTGTAGCCCAGGATAGCCTCAGACTCACAGCAGCACTTCTACCTCAGTCCCAGGAGGGCTAATTTAATTCTTTTTTATGACTGAATAATACTCCATTTTATATGTACACCACATTTTCCTTGTCCATTCAACCACTGGTGGGAATCTTGGCTGCTCCCATTCATTGTTTTTTGTGAACAGGGCTGAGGCAAGAAGGTAGGGTGTAGCTGAGTCTAGCTATAAAAATACGTGTGAGCTGTGAATCCTGGGTCACTTATGAAACAATTCCCCTGCCCTGCGCCTGGTCTTCTTGGGAGAACTTGAGGAGGTTTCTGATAGGCTGGCCTGGACTTAACATTAACGCGGGAAATATGAAAAAGGACAGGGGCCGTTAACGCTCACTGAGTCTCTTCCCAATAGCCCACTCAGCCCACTCTCATCTGTAGAGGGGTTTTGGGGGTTTTTGTTTTTGTTTTTCCTTTTTTCCCCACTTTTACTTGGTCTAAACTCGCTCTGCAGAGGCTATTTTTCCTTATCTTTCTTTTTTTTAATTTTTAATTTGTTTATTTTGTGTGTGGGTGTGGGTGTGGGTGTGGGTGTGTGTGTGTGGCCAGCTCAGCCCACCAGGGGGCAGGGCTGGCTGGCATGTGGTGCTGGGGGATTGAACCACAGTCCCTGTGCTTTGCTAAGCTTGTTCTAAGTAGGTACTTTAGACCACTGAGCCATCTCACCAGCCCTTATCTTTCATAAATATGAAACTTTGGCCTCATTTGTGCTTGTTTTGACCCATTCTTTAAAACAGAAAGAACCTGGGCTAGCGACATAGCTCAGCGGCCTAAAGTGCATGCTGAGGCAAGTTTAGGCAGATGCAGGGGACTGCGGTTCAATCCCAGCACCGCAGGCCACGCCAGCCCCACCCCCAGGAAAGGCTGAGCTGGTCACAAAATAACAATAAGGCCGGGGAGATGGCTCAGTGGAATAAGCGCTTCCCTGGCAAGCACAGGGGGCCTGAGTTCAATCCCCGGTTCCACCAAAACAATAATAATAATAAATACAACAGAAAGAGCACCCAAAGTCTGGTAACCGTGCCCCAATAAACATGGATATGCAGGTATGGCTGTAGTGGAGGACTAGAACCTCAGCCTCCCAAGTGCTGGGCTCCAAGAGTGCACACCATGCTTGGCTTGTACTGTGTTTTGTTCTGGTTTTTTGGTTTTTTGGGTTTTTTTGCGGAACCGGGGATTGAACTCAGTCCCTTGTGCTTGCCAGGCAAGCACTTATTCTACTGAGCCATCTCCCCGGCCCCTTTTGTTCTGTTTTTGCTTTTTTTCTATCCTTCTTCTGTTGAAAGCTCCCAGGCTAATTTTAGCCAAAAGCTGCAATAAACATTCTTGTGCATAGAACCTCAGGTACTGATAGCTTTTGTCTGTGGGCTCCTTCCCAAAATTGGAATGGCTGCTTCTCAAGCAGGAAGGGGGCCTCAGCTGACCCGGGTGACAGGCCCTCACGTGATCATCCGTCCATTCATTGGCACGCACCTGCAGTCCCAGCACTCAGGAGGCTGCGGCTGGAAGATCACAAATTCAAGCCCAACCAGGGCTCCCTCTCACAGGGCCTCCCTGACACTTTCTGCTTGTCGCCCCTTCCCAGGAGGGGCCTTGGGTCCCTGTCCCCTTTTTCTATCATTTCATTTGTTCTTCTCTCCCTGTAATCTGGGCCCTAAACTGCACCATAGAGGAGTGAAGCAAAAATTCCAATTGGTATATAGATTATTTGAGGCTGAAGTTTCCCAAGGAACTGTAACTTGAGAAAAGCCTGCATATGTAACTTGAAGATATCCTCATAAGTGAAATAAACCAGACCCACATGTGTAAATATCGGATAGTCTCCCTAGTGCAAGAACTCAAAAGAAGAAATAAAAATTGAAAGATATAACACAATTAAATGGAAAGCAAGAATTTAAGGATTAAACAACAAAGAGAGGGCAAGGAGAAAAGCTAGGAAACATGACAGGGGCAAAGCCACACATTTATATGCACAAGATGGCTAAGGCAATGATCCTGAGAATCTCCATCAGGTTTTTGAAACTAGCAGTTAGTTGGTAGGATTCTCACCCTGACTAACTATAGATGCTGATACCTGCGAACTAGGCAACGGTACCGAGGATAGCAACGTGCAATTCTAAGGCACACTTGGAATGCCTGTCGTTCAGGTCTTCTAAATGCATACTGCTCCTAATGTCATGTCAATTATTGATATAGTTTCGTTCAAGTGTTTCTTTTCTTTTTTTTTTTTTTATTACATTTATTTATTGTGTGTGTGTGTGGCCAGCTCAGCCCACCAGGGGGCGGGGCTGGCTGGCATGTGGTGCTGGGGATCGAACCACGGTCCCTGTGCTTTGCCAAGCTTGTTTCAAGTAGGTGCTTTAGACCACTGAGCCATCTCTCCAGCCCCTCAAGTGTTTCTTTTAAAAAAAGGTAATAAAAGAAAACAAGAGGGGCTGGTGAGATGGCTCAGTGGTCTAAAGCACCTACTTAGAACAAGCTTAGCAAAGCACAGGGACTGTGGTTCAATCTCCCAGCACCACATGCCAGCCAGCCCCGCCCCTTGGTGGGCTGAGCTGGCCACACACACACACACACAC